GCCAGGAGTGACTCGTTAGGGAGATGAGCTGGTCCCCTTCCCTTTCCCCCATCCACTTTCACTGGCTGCCTTGATGAAAGGGCAGAGCTACTGCCTACACTCCATCTCTCCCTCCAAATCCCCCCCAAAAAAAAAAGAATAATCCCCCCTTGCTATTACAAGGACAGACATACCTGTAGCCTCTCATAGATTTTTGTCTACCATATCACCAAGGAGAATGGTTCACGGTCCCCGCTCTTTCAGGCCAAATGCAGCTGAGAGAGGACTCAGGGAGTCTGGAAAGGCAGCTGGAAAAGCCATTGGAGAAGTGGGTTATATTCTTTTGAGAGATAAACAAAGATAAATGAGATGGTCTGAATTTTTGCATGGGGAAAGTATGCAGGGAGGCAACAAATGGGGGCTGTCCCAAAGCTGCTTCCATAAAACAAAGAGCAGACTCCAGATTTCAAAATAAAACAAGGAAGTTTCATGTTGGAAAGTGCCCCACAAAAGCTGTGCTAAGCTTAGCTAGAATAATAAAGCAGCCATCAGTTTTTCTGGGCAAGCTACGCTTGTAAGCAGTGTCACAGCTAACAGAACATGTCAGTCAGTTGTTCACCTAGAAACAAGCCCAGCTGGGATCTCATCCAGCCTTTACATTGATGATTTCTGAAGAGTTACAGGAATTCACCTGTGTAGAAGGTAGAGGTGCAGCTCGTATTATATATTGCCTTTCCTTTCTTCCTTCTAGTCAGAAACAAGTTATTCTGTTCTTCAGATGTAAGCTGAGCTATTAAACACTCTTTTCCATCCCACTCCTTCCAATGCCAACAATAAAAAGTTAACTTGGTTCAGCTGGAGCAAGACAGGATCTAAGAAAATCAGGAAGGCCAGTTCTTAGTGTACTGAAAAGCTATGCATAATAGGCTAAAAAACTGTAACAGCTGAAGATGTGCAAGGAGCATGCCACATATTACAGGGAAGAAGCTGTGGATGGGGATGAGACAATGAGAAGGATCTGTTCTCAGCTATCAACGTGTGTGGAAGGACAGTGATGGGAGACAGCTGCCTGGACCGTGATGCTACCTGCCATAGCAACAGATTTAGTTCCTTTCAGCGGAAGGAAAAACCACAGCTTTTGGGCTGATGGTAGCTCACCTCTCAGGGTTTACAAATTCAGGGTTTGTAAAGTAGGAAGCTCCTTATGCAATGAAATATGGATGTTTGGATTATGGTGGATAGTTGCCTGCTGCAATATATAGTTTATAATGGACACACCTATCGTGTTAAAGGGCTGCTACCCACTCTGATTTATGATAGGTGTGCCTGGCTGGGACTAGGGCAAGTTATCTAAGCTGTTGCTTGACAGAGCGAAATCTGGACACTTCTGTCTCCTTAAAACACCAACAGTTTGCTCCTGTGTGACCACTGTGCACTGAAGGCTTTGGACTCTTAAGTTTTTCTTTTGGGGAATAAGTTCAGGGCATGGTGAACAACCAGAAGTTCTTTTTGAAGCCAAAAGCAGGACAGCCCAGTGGTCAGACATGCTTCCTAACATGGTGCCGATGTAACCCACTACTTTTTCTTGTCTTACAATGTCTGCTCCACAGACAGAGGAATTGCTATCCTGAACTAGAACCAGGGTCTACCCTGTCTCGGAGAGCACCCTGCAGAAAGGCTCCAGAGAATAGAGGTGGATTTACTAAGAAGAGAGAGGGATCTTTAAGCCTATGATGATCTGAAGCCCAGGGTAGGCTGGGACAGCCCTGAAATTCAAACCGTCGCCCGATCCTCCCAAAGAAAGCCATTAGGAAGCTATTTTATCTTGGAGCTTAAAAATAGCACATGGTACAAGCAGTTGTTATATATATGCCTTTCATCAGGACACGGGATTTCCCCCGTCTTCCCCTCACAAGTTCTGGCCCTGGAAATGTACCCACACCCTCAAGTTTGGGGTGGGGGGGACAGGCAGAAGCTGCAACCTTAACTCTACATGGATGGGGTGTGCTCCCTTCCATAGCCTGATGCAAAGGGCGTTTCCTCCCTCAAGTGACCAGACATAAGAGACACACCTATTTTTATTTCAATGTAGTCACCACACTTTGATTTTCTTATCTAGCAGGCCAATGTGTTACATACTTTAATGAGATTCAGTAGTTCTGTAGCTCCCTCCGGTCAGATGAGTGACACATACACCCCTTGGGCACATGCAGGAGCCTTGCTGTCAACAGACAGGGGATGATCTCCCTCCCTAATGGAGTAACTCGCACAATAGGTCATAATGGTTTAAGCCACCAAGAATGGGGCTGAATATTTCTCCTGCGTGGTTGTTGTCACCTTACCAATACTGGCTGGTCTCACCTTTGTCTGGTCTGAGGGAGTTTCAGCCATGTGCACTACATGGCTTCATGAAGGGCAAATCATGCCTGACAAATGTGGTGGCCTTCTACCGACGGTGTTACAGCGTTGGTGGGTAAGGGAAGAGCAACTGATGTCATCTACCTGGACTTGTGCAAAGCGTTGGATGCTGTTCCGCATGACATCTCTAAAATTAAGAGACATGGATTTGATGGACCACTCGGCGGGTAAGGAATTGGCTGGATGGTCGCACTCAAAGAGTTGAGGTCAATGGGTTGCTATGCAGATAAAGACCAGTGATAAGTGGGGTCCTTCGGGGGGTCCATACTGGGACTAGTATTATTTAACATCTTTGCTGGGGACATGGACAGTGTGACTGAGTGCACCCTCAGCAAGTTCCCCGACGGCACGGAGCTGTGTGGTGGGTGACACGGGGGAGGGCAGGGATGGCATCCTGAGGGACCTGGGCAGGCTGGAGAGTGGGGACCGGGCAAACCTCATGGAGTTCAGCAAGGCCGAGGGCAAGGTGCTGCCCGTGGGTCGGGGCAATCCCCAGCACAAACCCAGGCTGGGCCCTCGAGGAGTGGCTGGAGAGCAGCCCCAAGGAGAGGGGCTGGGGGGGCTGGTGGGGGGAAAACTGCCTGTGAGGCAGCCCCGTGCGCTCGCAGCCCAGAACCCACCCGTGCCCTGGGCTGCAGCCAGAGCAGGGGGGGCACCAGGGCCAGGGAGGGGATTGTCCCCCTCTGCTCTGCTCTGGGGAGACCCCCCTGCAGTGCTGGGGCCAGCTCGGGGGCTCCCAACAGCAGAAGGACACGGAGCTGCTCGAGCGGGGCCAGAGGAGGCCACGGAGATGCTGGGGGGGCTGGAGCAGCTCCCCTGGGAGGCCGGGCTGAGAGAGTTGGGGGGGTTCAGCCTGGAGAAGAGAAGGCTCCGGGGAGCCCTTCGAGCGGCCTCCCAGGGCTTAAAGGGGGGACAGGAGAGGGGGGGAGGGACTCTGGGTCAGGGGGTGGGGGTAGGACGAGGGGGAACGGGTTTAAGCTGACAGAGGGGAGATTTAGGTGAGATCTAAGGCAGAAATTGTTCCCTGTGCGGGGGGTGAGGTGCTGGCCCAGGGTGCCCAGAGCAGCTGTGGGTGGGAACCCTCCCTGGAAGGGTTCAAGGCCAGGTTGGACGGGGCTGGGAGCCCCCTGGGCTGGGGGAAGGGGGCCCTGCCCGGGGCAGGGGGTGGCACTGCGGGGGCTTTAAGGGCCCTCCCAGCCCAAATCATTCTAGGATTCTATGATTCTACAACTATAAGTGCTGTAAAAACCATGCTCTATTCATCACTCACCATCCTGCTATCTACATTTCATCCCTATATCTTGTTCTCCTGTCCTTCTGCATGCAAGGAGGGTTGCATTTCTGGACCAGAAGGGCCACAGTGGCATCTAAGCAAAGCACCAGTGGTACCTGTCATTAAGCCACCTGGAGGGGTGGCTGAACTCTCCATTTGTTCTTGGACACCGTATTTTACAGCAAGCCTACTGCCAGTTAGTTCACCGCATCGATGAGTCCTCCCATCCAATATAGGCATGTACATTCTCCCTTCCCCTGCCAAACGTAGTCCTTTCCCGTCCCACCTCATCCTTCCCAACCCATAGGATCTCCTTCATCCCCTGTCATCCATCATCCACCCTCAAACTTGTGTGTCTCTTTGAACAACCACCTTTGTCTCCAGAGGTAGGACAGTAAAGCTTTGCTGCCAGGAACTGAAATGTGCTGCTTGGTGTTCATCACGGTGTGTCAGTGCTGGATGGACGCTAACGCCCGGGTTGCTCCCCCTGGCCTGGGGAGACGACTGCAGCAACTCCAAAGCAACTGCTGCAGTGCCACCCTCCTACCCCTGCCAGTGCCTGCCAGCCCCATCTCCCCTCAGCCCCATGTTCCCTCACCATATCCCCTTGGGCCCTTTCCTATCACCTCCACACGCCCTCGCTGCCATCTCCCCTCAGCGCTTCCCCTCAGCCTCCCTCTCCTCTCACCGCTTCCCCTCAGCCTCCCTCTCCCCTCAGCGCTTCCCCTCAGCTGCCTTCCCCCCATGTCACATCCCCTCAGCCCCCCACTCTGCCTCCCCTCAGCCCACATCCCCTCAGCCCCCCACTCTGCCTCCCCTCAGCCCACATCCCCTCAGCCCCCCACTCTGCCTCCCCTCAGCCCACATCCCCTCAGCCCCCCTCCCTGCTTCCCCTCAGCCATGTTCCCTTGGACCCCTCTCTCCTCAGCCATGTCCCCTCAGCTCCCCCTCTCCTCAGCCATGTCCCCCCAGGCCTCCCTCCCCCTCAGCCCAAACTCCCCCCACCTCTTCCCCTCGGCCACCCCATTCCCTCCGCTCCCCTCCAGGCCCCCATCGCCCTCCTCCTCCGCCGCCTGCCCCCTCCGCCATGCCCCTTCCCCCTCCGCCCCCCCCCCCCCCCCAGCTCGCCCCCGCGGCCCGGCCCCGCCCCGCCCCGCCCCACCCAGCGCCATGGCCCCTCCGCGCCGCACCCTACCCCGCTGCCCTGTCACTGCAGCGCCGCCTCAGCCCCTCCCGCCGCCCGCCCGGCCCCGCGCCGCCCGCGCTCGCGGGGATTGGCGGGCGGCGGGCGCGGCGCGGCGCCATTGGCCGAGCGGCCCAGAGCCCGCCCGCGGCGCTAGCAGGGTAGTGCGCTCGGCGTGAGGCCAGCGGCGGTTCTGTTCCCTCTTTCTCCCCCGGCCGGGCCCGCAGGGGAGAGTGACACTGACCAGGCGGCTCCGTCCCGGCGGCAGCCCCCCGCGCCTCCTCCGGTAAGGGCGGCTGCTGCGGGCGGGGAGCGGGCGAGGGGACACCCCGCTCGACGCGCGGCGCCCTCTGAGGCGATGGAGGGGCGGCCCGGCTCGGGGGGGGACGGGCTCCGGCCTCGCCCTTGTGAGGGGCGCGGGCGGCCTGCGGCCCCGCGGCGTGGGGGGGGGTGGGAGGCCGAGCGGGCCGCGTGGCGGGGGGGGGTGTGGAGGGTTTGTGGGGTCGTGGGTGTTTTGTGAGGGGCGCGGGGGGGGGGCGCGGTTGGCAGGAGGGGGCGCGGTGGGTGACAGGCGGGGTGCGGGGAGGCGGGAGGGAGGTCCCGGCGCATCGGGAGAGCATCTGCCTGGCGAAGTTTGCGGGTGGGTCATCCTGGGGGGAAGGGGGAGCTGCCCGGGAGCGTCTTTGTTGCGTGAGGCGGGGGGAGAGGCTGAGGAGAGCTGCTGCTCCTGCAGTTTTACTTGAAACAGAGCCGACTCCCCCCTCAAAACACATCGGAAACGCCGTTTTTGGTCGAGGGCAACGCTGTGAATCGGCACTTCTCCGTGGGACCTCTCGAAACTTTTTGTAACGTGTTTTTTTTTTTTTTTTTTTTTTCCCCCCCCCCGTCCTTCCCCGCTATTTTTCTGTTTGGCCAGCCTCCTTCCTTGCTTTATAAGGATTGTTGCGGCGTTGCATCAGGGGATATTTGTGCTGCAATTCGGTAATACAGAAGGGATAAGTGCTTGCAGCGCTGCTGCTCGCTCCCAGCTTGGTGCGCTGGGTGTGGCGGGCGCAGGGATGCAGCAGGCTCCAGGCCCCGGTGGTAGCGGTGCCCAGTCATCGGCAGATTCAAACCGCCATCTGCTCGCATAGATCGGGCCCCGCTTCAGGCTCAGCAAACTTCTTTTAGAAAGCACACTTGTAGTTAGAAGTATTAAACATTTACTACAGCACCATGCTGGATCACTGCTAGTAAGTTTGAACTCAACACAGTGAAGTTTTTGGTTCTGAAGATGCTGTTCTACTGCCAGAAGCTATTTCTAAGCATATCTTGATGGAGGTTTTGTTGTGAAGTCTACCCCACTTAGAGGAGCATGTTGAGTGCCTGACCTGTGAACATTAAACCTGAATTTAGGTTTTGGGTTTGGGATTTTTTTAGATTCTTCTTGGTAACTCTTACTTGGTTGCTCCCTTTCTTATTTCTTTCCCCTGGTTTCTGTATGGATTTAACAAATAAACTAATTAACTTTAGCTTTTTTTTTTTTTTAAAAGTATTTGGCGTTTTTTGTTTTTGCCTTTTTTTTTGTTCTTTTAAAGCTGGGATCCTATACTCAAGGAACAATGTTCTTCCCAGTTTGCAATTTCAGCAGACTATCTATCTGAAAGGCTTCTTGAATAACATAATAGACATCTAAGTACTTTCTCAGTATTTCAGCTTGTGGAATAGCAAGCCTTGCTCTGTGCCTCCTTACACCCTCTTTATGCAGGGCTCTGCGTGTGACGCTGCTGTAGCTTCATTTTGTAAGGACAGGAGTGTGCTGGAGTTCTGCAACTGTAAAGCTTATTTCCTCTTTGCTAGGGCTCGATTATTCCATCTGGTAGTGTATGTTTTACTGGTATTATATATAGAAAGTACTGTTGCAGCCCAATTCCTTTATTTGAGAAAGACAAATAAATCATAACTCAAAAATATTCAACGTAGCAATACAATTATGATAAAAGTAATGTTGGCTGGACAGACCTGTCTGTGTTAAAATTGCTTGAAGTTTTTTTGTTTGTTTGTTTTTCCTTAAAGGAACTAGTGACATTTCTCACTATCTTTTCAGATGCGTTTTGGAGGATTCACTGGCTCTCTTCTTTTACTTTTGATTTTTATTTTTTTTTGCCGTTCTCACATCAGGAGAGAGGGACTTTTTCAGTTTTAAAAAGAGCTTAACTGACTTGCTATTGCAACAGCAGGAGTATCCTGTGTCTTTTGTTTTGTTTGGTAATAATTACAAGTTAGTGACAAATAATAAGCTTGAAGGCAGAATAATTGATCTGTTTGTGAATGTGATTGTTGACTCTAAAACTGAAGGACATGGATATTATTAAATCTGTATTATGTGTATCTGCAGAAATGACATCAGGGAAATATCTCATACAAAGAAGTGTCAGTGGTTTGAAGATCACAGCCCTGCAAGTTCAGCTAGAGCACAGTGTTGTCATGGGTACAGTTTCATGGGTCACCCCTCATTCCCCCCGAGCCCTCAGATGATATTAGGAAAGGATTATGTCACTCTTGTTTTTAAAGAACAAATGGGAAGCCTGTTGGTAGTACGCTTATGCCAGCAGATACTCGTGGCAGATTTAATATCTGACTTTATCAGATAGTTTCTTAAAAGCTAATGACTCTGTCAGTCAGTTTATATGTTGCTGGCCAGTGATCCTTGGGCAGGCTCCGAGGAATGGTGAACACCGTGGCTCTGCTCTGGGAACTGCAGAACCTCACCCTTGCAGGATATCTGGAGATCTGTTTTAACAAGTTGCCTAATTTGTCTGTGGGAAACTTTGAAGGTTATGAGTAGTGTAGTGGTGTGGGTAAATGCATCACTTTAGCCCTTGCCCACTACTTTGTATGAGTTGGCTGTGGGCATCGTGGAGAGTGGAGCAAAGAGACCAGGAGGTGAATAATCACACGACAGGCTCCCATAAACTGTTGAAACCAACTTGGGCTTACTTTAGTACCTGTGTGTGCTGTGCCTTACAGTACCGGTAAGTGTCACTTAAAGATGGCAATACTAATTCTGAAGTACTTGGGTTTAGAGTACTCATTTGTTTCCCTTCCAGGGACACTAGACAGTTAAGTCTAGGTTTTAAATACCAAAGGATTGCTTAAACTGGCCTTTCTATCGTGATATTAAACACCCCCCCACACTTCCAACAACATAAGCACAAGACAGCCTGATCAACAGAAATACAATGAAAATAGAAGCAACTTGGTTTTTTGAAGGGGCAGTATGTAAGGCTGTGTGGAGGGTGGGACATGACTTATTTCCAGTCTTACGCTCGTTTTGTGAAGTCTGATGAATACTCGGTTTAAACAAATGAATTGCGTATTCCTTCTGGTGTTTGTAAAAGGGCTGACACAGCCTTAATTTTAGCGAATGGAGCTGTAATTATATTTGAGGTCCCAACCCCTGTAGTATTTTAGTGGTTAACTCTCTTCCCTAGAAATAAATGAGTCTGAGCCATTAAATCAGATTTGAATTCCTGCAGAGTTCGGGTCTAGTTTAGACCCATCACTGTTAGCACTGTTCTTGCTCTTGCGTACTGTTCTTAAGCTTACCTCCTGTTTGCTAAGCTATTGATATCTTCAGCTAATAACTCAGTACTTGAACTACATTTGTCTCTGTATGCAGCACTGATGTGCAGAGTTCCAAATTCTGATATATGCCAAATTTATGACTAAAGGAAACCACTGGTCAGACAGGGTATAAGTCTGTCAAGGTGAATTTGAGTTACTTGCAATTCAAATGAAAGCGATGGTTACTTAAAAGCCAAATAATGTTTAACCATACCTTGTTTTGGTCCAGAAAAATCCCAAATAATTTATTTTGCTAGTCCAGACATTGATTGGAAGATAAAATTCCAGTCTCCTCCTCTGAGAATGAAGAGTTCAAGGCACGTTACTCATCATGTTGTTGGCAGTCTGATTGTAGATGGCAAAATTATATTTTGTGTATGTGCTTCTGGAGTTTCAAAGACAGACTTGAAGAAGCTAATACTGCTCTGAAAGACAGATAGTTATTTCCTGTAGCTTCATGTTTACAGTTCCCGTCCCAACTAAAATAGATCAATCTCTTGCTTAGTGAAATGTCTGTGTATATGGTTTCCTCGTGTCTTAACAGTGCAATAGAACTGATTTTCTTTGTGCCTTTTTTTTTTTCTTCTCCCCTTGAAGGCAAATTAAATTATACTCAACCGTAGATCAGAGAAATGCAGGGGTCTGTGATTACAGCAGACAGTATGGTGGCAGAACAGCTTGATTCTTGAACCTGAGCCATCATCGCTGCCGTCATCTGCTCCAGAGAGCTCATCTCCCAGAAGAAAGGGTAGATGTACTGTGGATCGGGTGCTTGAGGAGGTGGCATAAAAGCTGGGTTGAACAAAGTACAGCCCATGTGAATCATGCCTGCAGGTAGGCTCACACCCCAGGCAAAACCTTGTTTCCCTTGCAGTGAATTTCTCCAGCCTCCTTCAACTCAGAAGCCAATTTCATGACTTAGTATTTTGCACATGTAAAAGAATTTCTTGTGGGAAGAAAAGGTCAGTGAAATCAGCTGCTGTAGATGTTATACAGATTTTTACCTTTGTAACAATAAGAATAAAATACTTCTGGCTCACACTGGTGCCCCATGTTGCTCTTGGGGAGGCTTCTTAATAAAGTTTTATGTTAGGAATTATTAAATATTAAAGTTACTTAAAATTATTGGGACTTCTAACCCCAAAGGATTATGGACAGACATTAGGGTGATGCTTAAGCTCTGGCACTCTTAAAAAATACATCGGGATAGTGGTAAGGGTTTGGCAGAACGAGGGGGGGATCTGTTTCTGAGCAAGGTTAGTCTTAGACTCCTCTGTGTAAGTTGTTAAAATTATGTGTGTTGTCATACAAGCCGATATTTTGTAAACGTTGGTATGCTTGAGAGCAGAATGCCTGCAGTTGTTGCTCTAGAAAACACAGAGATTCTGTGTTATTGGGAAGTGTGAGTCTGCTACTTAGATGAAAAATGGATGTCTATGTAAATGAGAGTATGTTCAAACTCCATAATACACATTCTTCACTTGAAATACCTGCTGGAAGGTGAGAGGGTGGTGGGTTATTTATTCTGTTGTTGTGCAAGTGTCCTCCCCTAGAAATAGTGAGGGAAGGGTCTGATTTCTTCCCTGCCTACCCAACCTCCTCACTATTGGAAAATACTATTTCTTGTTGCTCTTTGAATCCCTGCCTGGCCTCTTACAAACTTTCCTCAGAGAGCGGCAA